ACGCTCTCACAGAGTGGGTCTCCTCAGGGTACCGTCGGCCAGACAGTGCCGGCTGGCGACCCCAAGGGGGAGGGCCTTCTCTGTGGGAGCTCCCACCCTCTGGAACGAACTGCCCCCAGAGATCAGGGTGATTCCTGATCTCCCTTCCTTCCGCCGCGCCCTCAAGACGTGGTTGTTCCAGCAAGCGGGACTGGCCTAGTGGATTTTATAGGGGTTTTAATTACTTTTAAATTGGACATTCTCAAATATTTCATTTTAATTAAATTTTAACTAGGTGTAATATGTTAGCTTTTTATCATTTGTCAGCCGCCCTGAGTCCGAAAGGAGAAGGGCGGGATATAAATGCAATTAATAATAATAATAATAATAATGATAGCACCAAGAAAGGCTCTACCTTTCTTGGCCTTTGAAGCAATACAAGTTTTTCTTCTGTTCCCTTGGGATGAGCTTCTGTTTCTGTATCTGAATTAGATAATTTTATTGGAGGTTATCCAACAATTACTTCAGTTCAACTAAAGGCATAGATATTCACTGTCAGACTTATTACTTTGTTTTTCTGTAAACATCCCATATCCATGCAATAAAAATATCTCATTTCTTAAGTTTTCTTTATTTCCAAAATATTTTCTATATGAACACATCTAATCAAATGCTCTCTGGTCTCGTAGAACAAATTAAGAGTCCTCTGAAACATGCTTAAAAATAATTAGTTGAGTACTATTGAACAATGAGGCAGTTAACAGTGAGATAAATAGAATGGAAGAGTGACATACCAACTGCTACCTGTTCCTTGAATAGGAGCCTTGAGTCTAGGATGCTTTTGCCATTGTCACTATAATGAATATCCAACTCCAGTATCCTGTTTTGCTATTGTCCCATATAGAGACCTCTGGGCACCTGGGATCATCTTCACATTTTGGTCACCCTGCCGGAAATTTATACCTACTATATCAAGGCTTTTCAACCAGTGGTACGGGTACCACCTGTGGTACATTGACACCTGGCAGGTGGTACTCGACCATCCTAGAAAAGTGGTAGCGGGGAAGGGGAATGAGCTGAACCAGTGGCAGCACCGCACAAGCCTGAGCGAGAGACGGCTGGAGCTGCAGGGCTGTCAGGGCTCAGCAGAAGCGCCAGAATCAGTGCCGCTTTCCAGCTGATCGGCACTTCTTCGGGGCTGTCAAGGTTCAGTGGAAATGCCAGGATCAGCGCCAGGCTCCAGCTGGAGTTCGGCGCTGATCCTGATGCTTCCGCTGAGCCCAGAAGCGCCGATCAGCTGGAATGTTGCAGCATCTCCAGGGTCTTGTGATTTACATTCAGATGCTTGGCAACTGATTCATATTTATGACAGTCAGTCCCAGGATCATGTGAAGTGACCAAAACCTGCTGCAATCACCCAGCAGACGGGGGGAATAAAAACCAAAACCCCCCCAGCCCACCCCCTCTGCCAGTCCTCAACAGAAATGCTCACAACTTCCTCGGATAGGAGGAAGAGCGCCGCCGGCGGGCAGGCAGGTGTCTTGCTCGGCTGTGGCTTGGGGGGGCACTTTTTTCAGTGCCATTGTATCTTCAAACAGTCACTAAGCAAACTGTTGTAAGTCAAGGACTACCTGTACTTTATCACTTTTTTCCTTTTTTTTTTTTTGGTTCATCAAGTTTTTGACACCTTGCTAGGCGACTGGTGGTACTCAGATGTTGCCATATCCTAAAAGTGGTACAATGGGTGAAAAGGTTGAAAAGCCCTGTACTATACAATCATGGCTTTGCTTATCCCTCTCGGATATATTCTCCTGCCATACCACAGGGTTTTGGGGCAGGACACCTCCTCCATTGACCTAGGCACTAGTACTTTCTGATTAACATTACCTTGGGTGTTATATTATAAATACCAAAAATGTGAAATGCTACATTCTCCAGTGTCCTATTATTTGTTGTTTTAAAGCTGGTAGTGAGCTAGAAATGACTCACATGACACATAACATCAAAGAGTTATACTTTGTTTTTATTATTAGTTGGTGAAAGCTCACAAGTTTGGAACAAGTGTTTAAAAATTAAGTCCCAGTAACTTACTGAGTTAATTTTTAAGAGAATGAATAATTGTAGAATCGGGCAATAAGTAATCATTTGGCAGCTTATAGTATTCATTTACTTTTATAATACACATTTGGACACTAGAAGTGATCATTTCGCCATTGTATTTTTGCACCAGATGCCATGGCAGTACAGTACATTTTTCTTAATTATGTCTGTCAGTGCTTGAAGATATAATCAGTTTTTTACATGCATAGCTATTAGATGAAAGCCTCAAATGTTACTTTCATGTTCCAGTATTTAAAAAAATCTTTTATCCAACCAAAATGTAAAACACAAAGCTAGAAATTATGATTGATCCTAAACAATACATTAGCAATTTTTTTAAAGTTCACTAATTAAATGAATTGTGTTTTGCAGCAGCACTTTGAAATAAAGTCCTCTGCCCTACAAATCAAATTATCATAGAGGCAAGTGAATGCCAGTAAGAAATTATTTTCATATAAGCTTGCTTATTCAATGAAATACCTATGCTTAAATTGAATGTAATATGTAAGTAATAGAGTGTGCAGTTTACATTCTGCCTTGCATAAATCAGCTGAAAGCATAATTAATACTAGAACTAATTATGTAGATCTTCACTTATAAAAGGAAGTCCTGACTTAGGAATCTTTTAGAATGTTTGAGTATGAACAAGCATATGGAAAGGGGGTTAGATGGAGAGATGAAAAAGAAATACAAATATCATCTGGAGACCAAAAAGATGTTTTGAAACTATCCCTACTAAAAATTTTTTAAAGAAATTCAGTTCTCTTAAAATAAGAGAAGTTTAAAATAATAAAGCATAAGGTAAATGGGGGACAGTTCTCACAAATGAACAATTAAGGGAGCAGTTTCAGAAAAGACTGCTCAATCTTGGCAAAGAAGAAAGTATGAGAAAGAAACCCAACATAACCTCATTTTGATCTATTTGAGCAAAATGGAATAGCAAGATACTTTGATAGGTTTTCAAGTTTCTGTTTTACCTATAACAATAAAACATTCCTGAAATCCCTGTAGCTCCTTTGTCTTGATCTTGCCTGCTGAAAAGACTGACACAATGAAGAATAGAAAAAAAATACCCACAATTTAAGAACAGTGCCATATCATTTTGGCTGGCAGCCTATGCTAAGCATCCCAGAACAAGTAGTAGTGATAACATTAGCATCCCACTTTTAGTTTCCTTATCTTTCCTAGCATTATCCCCATAAAAGCACTGTGACATAGTTGGGATAATTTTGATTGGTCACAAATCACCCAATAACTAATCCTTCTTCTGTTATGTATTCAAGATGGACAGTGATTAATATGTATATGTTACTTACATGTAAGGGTGCAGGTTTATACATATGTTGTACATAGTATGTTTAAATGTGTGTAATGTATGTTTACATTTTCAGAGCAAGCAACTAAATTTAATTTTTAATGTGTGCCATTGTGCCCACAGTAAAAAATGACAATAAAGGTTATCTATATCAGCAGCTCCCAAACTTTTCTATACCCCGCACCCCTAGAAAGCTTCTGATATATTCTCGCACCCCTTACAAAAGTTCAAAATAACGGCAACAAATTATGCATATACACTATAATTTTGAAAACCCAAGTTTTTGCACCCCTGGTTGGGAGCCCCTGATCGTTCTATCCATCTATCTAATCTATCTTTCACAATAGAGTAAGTCTGCACCATCGTGCTACCTTTCACAACTCGCATGGAGAGCCACTGAATATAAACGTCTCATTTCTGAGAAGACAAAAATAGGGTTATATTGTTAATTGACTTGAAGTTATAACCGTGTGGTTCATATTTATATAGATGATAGCAAGCTAGATAAAATCCAAAACAGAATATAAAGCTGCAAGAAAACTCAACTTTCTACAAAAGGCTTAAATATGAATCTTTTTAAATACAAAGTTTATTCTTAATTTTAGGATTATCTGTTTTATATCATCAACACGCATATACTAACCCAGTATTCCTCAATCTTGGCAGTTTGAAAACTAGCCTATTTTCCTAGAGTCAGCAGAAACGAAGTACAATAAGTGTTAGTGTAAGAAAGAGACCACGTTCAGTCTGATTGCATTGCCACTTGCACATGTAAACTACCGCCTCCCAGGTCCTACTCTCCTGCACGCGCCAATCTTTTTCAGTTCGCCCCACGCTGCACTTCCAACAGCAGAACAAACGGCGCTCGGGTCCTCAACTTATTTGCCCGCTTTTGAGATCTTCCCACCAATAGCAATCGTACAAAAGTAAAGGTACTTTGGGATTGGGTAGCCGCCGGCCGCATATTCTGAGAGGTGGGCGGGCCTTTCTCTCTCTCAGGCAATTCGCCTTACTTGGAGCGGAGCGTGTCCGACTCCCCCGAGCCCCCTCCTTTTCGGGCGCTGGATATTGAAGCGCCTGCGCATTTCGAGGAAGGCAATGACGGGACCCGACGGCGGGAGGCGGACCTTGTGCAGGGTGTGTGCACTGAAGTCCGGTGGCTGTTCTGCTTCCGTGCGTCTGGTGCCTCCGATCTTCTAGTTGCTCTTCACGGTGAGTTGCTGTGCCCCCCCCCTTTAAACCGGGAGGCCTCCAACGCCAGAGCATCTCTAACTCCTTGGAAAAATTTCTTGTGGTGCTTTGGCCGCTTGAAAGTATGAAGCGGTGGCCTCGCCCAAGAAATAATTCCCTTCAGAGAGCAAGCAGTAATAAGCAGGCAGTGGTCAACAGGTATAGTTATCCCCATGCCTGGCTCTTGTGAAAGAAAGGTTTTACCTATGGATTTCTGCCTAGGATGAAGCTGCTTTGCCCCATTCTTCAAAAAGTCCTGACGGTGCCATCTTACATATTGCCTCTTTTCTCTTCGGAGCTGAGGGTAAAGTTAGTTCTATGTCTCTCTTCTTCTGGTAATAAGATAGATCATGGCCATTTGGTCGTGTACGGTATGGATGTAGTGATGCTATTCTTTGCCTTTGTGTATTGGTGTATGGCATGTATTTATTGATGAGACTTGACGTGTTCTTACTGTTATAAATGCTTCTCAGTCTGTCCTGAGACTTCACCGCTTTACTTTTCCCCCTCTCTCTTTCTCCAACTATTCCCATCCTGCCATTTGATGTTGGTTGTTGTCTCCTGGGAACATAATATCAAAACTGGTGTGAGTTGTCCCAGGAGACAGAAAAGTTGCATCCACTTTTATAATGGATAGTTGAGAGGCTCCAGGTAGGTTTATGATATTTCTTCAAAATAGTTGCTTTCATTAACCTACATCAGGTTTCTTCCCCACCTAAAAATAATGCATACATTAAAACCTGTTTGACATCCAACTCTGAACAATTATGTCCACTCACTATGATGGCTGGAGCCCACACATCATGTTAAACTATATTTTGATTATTGTGCCTTATAGACTAAATCAGTGATGGTGAACCTTTTGAGATCGAGTGCCCAAATCGCAACCCAAAACCCACTTATTTATTGCAAAGTGCCATCAGCATTGTAGTGCCCTCAGGGAGGCACCTCTGAGTGCCGCCTCTGGCACGCAAAAACTGGGGGCACAAAAATGGGCCACAGTGCTGCAAGGCGCAAAAACGGCTGCCGTCGTGCCATGGGGTGCAGATACAAGGCGCTGCACATAAGAATGGGGCAGGGCCACTGAGTATCACGCAGGCACTAGCCCTGCCCCATTTGCAGCAGGTGCTTGCTCACGGCCCCGTGTGCGCATGCACGCATGTAAAATGCCCCCCTCCCTTTTTTTGCAGTCCACCAATCGACAATGGTTGGTGACCTCTGCTCTACCACCTCTATTGGAGCTTGCTAGTTGGGCGCTTCACCTCCTTTGTGCTGGGCAGGGATCCTGCTCCGAACGGTGGTGACAGTGACGGCCTGATGGACCTGCTGCTGGCAGCGGTGGCACACGTGCTAACAGAGAGGGCTCTGAGTACCGCCTCTGGCACGTATGCCATAGGTTCGCCACCACTGGACTAAATCATAATTGACTATGTTTTGGGGCTGAAAGTGCTTTCTATTCTGGACAGTTGCTTTTGAAACACATAAATCAGAAAAATGAGATGTTCTGGAGAAAAACTGAAAGCTCTGGAATTATACATTTGTAGATTCCATCACTTGTTATTTGATACTTTAATTGCAAATGGAGATTTTTATGGAAAGCAGATAATCTCTCATCGTGGTTTGCAGCCATTCATCTATAACAGTGGTGGTGAACCTATGGCATGCGTGCCAGAGGGGGCACTCGGAGCCCTCTCTGTGGGCACGTGCGGCTCTCTCTTTGGCTAGGTTTTTGCAGGAAAAATCCATTTCTCAAGCCCTTCCTAGCCAAAACAAGCCTCCGGAGCGAGAGTGCTGTTTTCAGCTTTGAATTATATCAAACCTGACACCAGAAACAGACTAACAGATTACCTGAGTGCTGCATGTGTTGCTCTCAAACTTACAAAGTATATGTCAAGGTTAGACAAATTATACATGCATACAACAGCAAAGATCACATTAATTGTTCAAAAGCATGCCAAATGCAAACTTTTACCTTTCAGTAAAAAGTTGTTTGTATTATTGAAAGCTTTGTCATTGTGTTTTTCTTTTAAGACAAAAGATGTTAATGTATGAGTTGTTTTTTTCTAAACTAAAACCTCAGTATTCAGATTAAATTGCTGTGTTGGCACTTTGTGATAAATAAGTGGGTTTTGGGTTGCAGTTTGGGCACTCGGTCTCTAAAAGGTTTGCCATCACTGATCTATAATCTGTACATTCAGGCAAGCAAATTTAAGATACTTTGGCAACTTTAAGAGTTAAAGTGCATTGATTATTGCACTTGTAATCAGTTGTATTGATTACTTAGAAAAAAATGATTATTTTTGTATCTGTTGTTTTTTTGAGTACATCTAGCTCTTTAGTGCTTGAGAAACTCATATCAAGAGGCCTCAAGATAGTGTGTCAAAACCTTGGATGCAACTTCTCAACTTTGCTATTTTTTTAAATTACAGCTTAATCAGAGAAGGAACATTAAATGCACGACATAAACATGCATTCATAATTAATATACTCATATATTGATTATACTCATATTTATTTTACTTTTATATTAAATCAAATTTCTTTCGCTTTGTCAAATGCAATTTGCAGAATGAAAAATCTTGTGCATTTTTGGAATAAGTATTTGGAACTAACAGTAAAATGTCTGTTTCTTGCTGGTTGTGATTACTATATGTTTATTCTACAGTCACCCTGTTTGTTTCAGTTTAAACCATGTCAAAATCCTTGAAAAAGATTGTAGAGGAAAGTAGGGAGAAAAATATATTGGAAGTGGACATGTGTGAGCGTGGCATATCAAACATGTTGGATATACCTGGATTATGTAAGTATTTTGCTGCTTCTCTCATCTTAGTTCAAGTTTAATCATTTCTGCAGGCATAAATATGTTTCCATAAGGATTTGGTAGGTAAGGAGCAGATTATCTTTCAAGGATAATCTTGAAAAATGTTTTGATTGACTAATGCATTTGAATAATACTTTCCTTTTATTGTGTGGTTTTGCCTCTTGATCACACTTTTCGTAAATCAGTCTCAAGAGCTGCTAATGCATAATAGCAAAGAACTAGGAAGTCTGAGTTTCAAAATTTAATTTTTTCAGGAATTCAACATGGGGCATAAATAAATAAACCTCTTTCCTTATCAGTTCCCAAGTGTGATGTGGCAGTAAGTATATATTACTGCACAAGATTTAAGGATTAGGTCGATATTTATATGAAAGCCTTGTATATAGATACATATTTACTGCTGTTAATAATAGTAATAGTTATGATGATTTTATACTATATCTAAGATTCAAGGCATCATGTGCCCAGATTCTGGCTTCCAGCAAAATAGGAAAATAAGGCCTTTTGCATTGCCTTGCTTATGAGTTTCAAAGGACATCTGGTTGGCCATTAAGGGAAACAATGTATTAGACTAATTAGGTCTATGATTTCATTCCATAAGTATTTGTTTAAGATTATTTTTTAAAAACAATTTAAAGATTAGCAACCTGAAGGCCAAGTTTCACACATATTACTTCCCTGAAAACCATCAAGAATCTTTTCCATATTAGTTTTATAGTGAAAAATGATGCACAAACTAAGTGTGACTTACAGCCTCATAAAAGATTTCACACCTTAGTCTAAAAAGTCTGTAAACCCGTATTATTAGGTTGAGTTCAAAGAACTTTTCCCCTTCCAACAAGACTCTCTAAGCAGAGTTTGGCTCAGTACATTTTATGTATTAAATTGAGAACTTGTTAAGAAAATATATTAATTTGAGATTACTAATTAGTAATCAAGAGCTATTTTTTCAGGTTTAACTATAAACTCATGGGATGATAGTCAGTGTTGTGTGGACAGACTTTTCCAAGACAGCCTTTGTACAACTTGTTCCCTAAACAACTGTGACCAGAAATGGAAGAGGAACTATTCTACTGTCTGATGCTTTTTGTTAGTCAACATACACTATTGGAAGCTGTTTGTGACTCACAACAGAATTTAAAAAAACATTTTTTTGCTCTTTCCCATATTTTATAGTTACATTTATATATATTTTGAGCAATGCTTTTTGTGTCCTCTCCACTGCCATTCTGACTTTGTCTTTTGACAGTGCTCTAACATCTGGATATGAAGGTTGATTTTTTTCCCCTAAAATAATTTACCTTTTAAATGAGTCAGTTATCATAAATTTGTGGAGAATGGTATGAGAGGCAGGAATGTTCTTAATATGATTTACAAAAGTAGTTCAAGAATTTTGAGATCTAAATATTACAAATCATTAAATGACTTGACAAAATTCCAGTTGAATACAGTACTATAGTGTTCTTTACAAAATTACATTAACTAAAGCTTTCAGAGGAAAACAGCTCAAGTATACATACTGTCTTTCGCTCAGAATGAAAGGCAGGACATATGTCATACAATAAAATACCAATATATGTTTTTCTGATAGTTCATGTTTATCTGCTCGTGAGTACAGGTACTGCTTGATTTACTACCAGAATTGCACCCAAAATTTCTGTTGTTTAGCAAGACAGTTAAGTGAATTTTGCTTATTTTATGACCTTTCTTGGTATAGTTGTTAAGTAAACCACTGCAGTAGTTAGTAACATGGATGTTAATGAATCTGGCTTCCCCATTGATTTTGCTAGTTAGACGATCACAAAAGGTGATTCTATGATCCTGGGATATTACAACTGTCATAAATATGTGCCAATTGCCAAGTGTCTGAATTCTGATCATGTGACAGTGGAGATACTGCAATGGCTGTAAGTGTGAAAAATGATAAGTCATTTTTAAGTGCCTTTGTAACTTCAAAAAGTTATTAAAAATGCTTGTAAGTGAAGAATTACCTGTAATCTGATTTGTTGCTACCTTCTAGAGGACAGGACTACATCAATTTCTTGATAGTATAATTTCATGTTTTACTTCTATTGGTGCTAAGAATTACAGGACTGAAAAATACTATTGTCTAAGACCATTCTTTAATTTTATTTCATAGTATGTTCTGTGAATATTTTCCTGATTGTAGAGAAATCGGGATGAAAAAAGTATTTTGTGGATTAATAATCTCTCCCTGAAATCTTCAGAGACAGACAAATTTTAACTCTATGCTAATTATCTTATAATTAATTCAGTGCTGCTGTAAGAGATTTTCTTTTTCATGATATGACATTAGTGAAGTCGTAACAGCTGTCTCAAGAGTTCCCTTTGTTTGAAACATTAAATTATCCAATCAGAAATTATAATATTGTTTAATAATGCCAAAGATGTTTATGTTATTTATTAGTTTAGTACAAGATAGCTTATTAGGCAGTTGCTGCACTTCAGCTACCATTGTGGCATTTGGTTAATTAGATAGTAGTTGTAACTATCTAGACGACATGGAAAAAGAGTTAACTCTTCTTGACCAGAAGAGAATTAAAACAACATCAAGCATTTCTCAGAACCTAAACTAGAACATACTGATTCATTTTCAGTTACTAGTAGCTTCAGTTTAAGCTGGAGAAACAGCAGAAATGACAATGCTTAGATTTTTGTTCCATAGTTTAATTTCTAATGCAATTTTAAGGCAGGAAATATACAAAAGAAAAAAAATTATCAAACAAAACTGTTTCCCAGGGATACATTTTATCCCCACATTTAAAAATTGTTATCAGGATGTTAGTATCTGAAAATGCTAACATAGGATATGCAATTTTATATAAAATATTGGAAAATCACAGCCATTGAATTCAGTAGATGTTATATCTGAATGAAAATGTATAAGGTTATACTGATTATTTCAGCATAATTTAAAACATTATTTCTAGAGGCAAAAGCACATAAAATACATTGAAAATGAAGGTTAGATTGCATGATTTTTCTATATCATGCAAATTCTTATTTCCAATACATAAATGACTGCAGCCTTTTTTAAAAGTAAAACTAAATAGGTCATAGGTGCCACATGTGTGTTTATACCACACTTAAGTATAGCCATTCCTGGATTCTGAAAAGGCATAATTCAGTTTCCTGAAGCATGTGAAACTAATAAAGCTTGGTAAATGGGAAAAATAACAATAAAATCAACACTGATAAATTGAAGCAATACATGATATTTACTTATGGGAATTGGGATGTGTGAGAAATGGAAGCAAAAAGTGCAGTGTTTAAATGTTTGTAAATTACTACACTTCTTGCTTTAAATTATTGAATAGCAGTTTGGAGTGTTTATTTGAATACATATATACCGTATTTTCTGGCGTATAAGATGACTTTCTAAACCCTGAAAATCTTCTCAAAAGTTGGGGGTCGTCTTATACGCCCAGTTGTCTTATAAGCTGGAAAATACGGGTATTCTATTTTATTCCTTTATATAAGCTGAGGACGCGATGGGGGCGGCGGCCGGGAGCCGCTGCCTCCCGTCCTACTCCCCCTCCCTGGACGCGATGGGGCGACGGCCGGGAGCTGTTGCCTCCCGTCCTGCTCCCCCCGCCCGTTCAGCTGAGGATGAGATGGGGGCGGCGGCCGGGAGCCGCTGCCTCTCGTCCTGCTCCCCCTCCCCGCCCATTCGGCTAAGGACACGGCGGCCAGGCTGGGGGCGGCATGGACTCCTGACCATGCTGCCGTGTCGCCACTGGAGCCGCTGCCTCCCGTCCTGCTCCCCCCTGCCCGTTCGGCGCCGTCTGCCTTTCATTCTCTCTCTCCTAACCTGGAGGGAGAGAGAGAAAGAGAGAAAGAGGAAAGAAAGAGAAGAGAAAGAGGAAAGAGAAAGAGAAGAGAGAGAAAGAGGAAAGAGAAAGAAAGAGGAAAGAGAAAGAGGAAAGAAAGAGAAGAGAAAGAGAGAAAGACAGAAGAAAGGGAAAGAGAAGGAGAGGAAAGAGAAGAAAAAGAGAAAGTGAGGAAAGAGAGAAAGTTAGAGGAAAGAGAAAGGAAGAGAAAGAAAGAGACAGAAAGAGAGAGGAAAGAGAAAGTTAGAGGAAAGAGAGAAAGAGAGAAGAGAGAGGAAAGAGAAAGGAAAAAGAGAAAGAGAAGAGGACAGAGGAAAGAGAGAGGAAAAAGAAAGAGATAAAGAGGGAGAGGAAAGAGAAAAAGAGGAAAGGGAGAGAAGGAGAGGAAAGAGAGAAAGAAAGAGAAGGGGAGAGGAAAGAGAAAAAAGATTGAGAAAAGAGAGAGGAAAGAGAAAGGAAAGAGAAGAGAAAGAGAGGAAAGAGAAAGGAAAGAGAGAGACAGAAAGAGAGAGGAAACAGAGAGAGAGAAAGTAATAGAGAAAGAGGAAAGAGAAAGAAAGAGAGAGGAAAGAAAGGAAAGAGAGAGAGAGGAAAGAGACAGAGAGAGAGAAACCCTTTTGACATCTAAAATGAAGACAACACTGCATATATCCTTTTTTACCTTTATTTTATATATACACACACAAACATACACACACACAAACACACACACACACATATATCATAAAGGTAAAAAAGGATATATGCAGTCTTATCTTCATTTTAGATATCAAAGGGTTTTGCGGCTCCCAGTGTTTTGTTTTCGATGGGAAACGTGTCCAAGTGGCTCTTTGAGTGTTTTGGGTTGCCTACCCCTGATATAGCCCAAACTCTATATTTTAACTGGAAAAGTCGGGGGTCGTCTTATACGCCCAGTCGTCTTATATGCCGGAAAATACGGTACATGTATTCATATATGTATTCATTTTCCCTTTCATTGGCTTGCTTTAATATTAAGAAAAAGTAAACCCTCCTTTACATTGAATTCTTTGACTTATGATCAAGTAGAATAATAAACGGTGTAAATTAAATAAACCAAGTACATAAATAAAAGGTAAGGCTTCTGTGGCATGCTTCCTTGGCAAACGT